TGAAAACTGGCAAATTTTTTCGCCCAACAGTCTATAAACCATTCGAAAGCTCAGGAATAGGAGATTCGATGTAGACTATCGGCTTCTTTCTAGCCCCCCCCCCCCTCTACCGAGAGATACACTGCATTTTATCTGAATTCATGTCCATTTTCAACAGCAGATTTCTGCCAAACGAAGACCTAATCACTGTTGGTTACCTATCTATGTTACAGATCAAGTCTTCATTAATAAACGCAAACCGTCGACTTCCTCGTAGCGCTCATTTGGAGAGCAGAAAGTGAGGAGAAAAAACCAGTTGATATATGCAATACATAAAATCCCTCATATCTCGCGGCACAGAAGACCTAGAAAAAAGTCGACGGTCTACCTCGATTCTACATGACCTCAGCTTTCGAATGGTTTGTAAACTGTTGGGGTATTTTGCTTTCAGGGCTCACTTACCCCCTTCAACTTGCAAGGATGGGGGTAGCAGAGACCCCTTCACCTGGAGAGGGCCCGGCTCTCCCTATCGCACCTATGAGTCCGACGCTTGCAATTTGTTACTACTCTCACAAATACTTTAAGGATAAGGGAGGTGTTTGACTTTCTCTGATTCGGTAGAATCATTATATCTCTTTTTATCTTTACAACATTTTTGAAGAAATACGGACGTTGTCTCTATAACTCTCGCATTCCCACCGAAGTTTACGAAATTACTTAGTTGGTGGGTTAGTTTCGTCACAGTGTTTATGTGGACTACTGAAACTTTCACATCTCTGAAGATACTTATCTGGCTTTGCTTTTTGCTAGGGTTAGAGTTTGCAGCATACCCTCGATACAGAGAGCCACGTGCTCTGGCAACCTTCACTTTGAGGGCTATGAGGGGACACAACCTTCACCTTCAAATAACAAAAGTCATCCGGGATTTCGCCTCGGATGTTGTTATGCTGACTATATATCTGAACGATTGTTAATAAAGCAAATATAGAGAATAATATCTATAGGCTATCTCAGCGAAACCGAGTATTTGCGTTTTCATAGCTTTTTTTACGTTAAAAAGGTGTGAAATTTTCGCGATAATTCAGAACAACATTTCTCAGTTAACTTCCTATTTGACCAAAATCGAATTTTAGAAGTTTAGGAATGCTGTTGGAGTTAAATAAAAGCGAGTAACTGCGCTTAAATCTTGCGCAGAGAGTCGCGCACGAAAACGCTGCTCTATCTCGTCAATGAGTGATTTTCAAAGCTTGGGACTTTGTCAATTCTCTTCGTCGTGTTATGACTATCAGAATGATATATAATGTTGCAGGGTTTCGCTGAGACCCCGCGGAGATCTACGACGGAGCCAAATGCCCCGTCTGCTCTGGTCTGCCTCCGCTGCTCGTCTGCGTCTCCGCGCGCTGAGCGCTACCTCGCTATCCCAAACGCGGGGCGCGGGGCATTTGGCTCTGGTATCCTTTTCTTCGCTGTTTCGAACCCAATTTCAGCAATCTATATATTAGGTTGAACACTAAGTTTTGCAACTTGTTTTATAACTTCACTCTCACTCAACATGGCGTCCTCAAACTTTGGCATTATGTAGAATACAATGTGATCTACAAGAGAGCACAAATTGTCTAAATTTTGAACACGAAATAGAAAAGTTACAGGCGTTTTCAAAAACTAGTGGAACTTGACAATTTTTGGGGTTTCAAGCTAAAATGAAGCCTTTGGCAGCCTAGACCATGCGCAGTAATCCGGATTCGTCTACAAATTATTGCTGGAGGTTGACTCCTATGGCCTTGTAAGAAAGAAACAAAATTCAGGGGCATGTCGAGATTTGGCGTCCTCACAAAGTCGAACGAGTCAATGTACGCAAGAGCTGCTGGAACGACCGTCAATGACTAAAAAGTCCAAAGCTCAAATTCCGCCGAGACTTCACATAGTAAGGTTATTTGACCTGCCGAACGCGAATATCATATTCATTTGTTGAATCAACGCCTTTTTCCTTGTTTAGGGTGAGACCCCATAACGTACACCTACAGTAATCCTACAGAAAAGCCCTTATCACGCAATTTCATTATTGTTTTCGTGATCAGCATGTCGGATAATACCCCTATGCCAAGTTTCAGCCAAATCCGTCAAACTTTGAATTTTTCCCCTTCATACCATGCACCTACCGTAACCCTCACTGCGACGTCAGAATTTGGTAGGACAGCAACTGCGCTTGTAGCTTACGTAATAACCAACACAGTGGCAAAATTTGAGTGCGCCATGTTGAGTAAGAGGGAAGTTATGAAACCAGTTGCAAAACTTAGTGTTCAACCTATTATAATATCATTTTGAAGCTCTTGATCTCTATTTTCACCGCAACGTCCTAAAACCATATTTTTGATTTGATCGAAAAATCCGGCAAAACCTTGTTCTGGAAAATCTCTTGTTTTTCTCCTAGCTTATCTCTTTTCACGCGGTTTTTTCGTTCAGTCTATAGAACTTGCTTATGTTTATAATGCAGACAACCACCCAGCCCCTACTTCTTTGATTATGGTTGAACTTTTTGCGAAAAATCGTAAAAAGTGCGTTTTTCTTTACCTAGTTCTGTTTCAGTGCTTTCGCATGGATTTCTTTCCAGCTTGGACGACTGTTGCTCAGAACAATAAGCGCAATAATCCAGACAACGTCTCAGGAAACAGGAACGTCAATGCGGGGGTAAAAATCCAAAGGACGCATCAAAAATCAAATTTGGCTTCGACGTTCTTTTCGACTTAGTAGAAAAGAAATTTGCATTTTCATAACTAATTTCTTTCTTGTTTATCTTCCTCCTTCTAACCACTCCTTCCGAAGCATGTTTTTTGAAACAATCACAAAAAAGGAATTAGCTCCTCTTCGCTTTCCCCCGTGCTGCAGATTTTCGGTCCTGGAGCGAAAACTTGCACTCTGAAAAGCCGCCAAATGAAAGATTTCATACCTCATTGCAGCGTTTTTATCCGGTTTTGATCAGTTTCTTTTGCTTTTTATATCTGTTTTACGTCACTTTCTCTTCTCTGATCTTCTTTAAACAACATTCACTATTTATGAGATCAGATGTTCTAACAACCTTTACTTTCGACGCCCTGTCTGTCTCCAGACTATCGAAGCTATGGGTTGCAGTGTGGATGTACCTTGAAGGCATCGTCCATCTTAAAGTGAGGGTCTTGAGCTTTTGACAGCATATGATAGTAGTCCTAAGCCAATGCCCAAGGAAGAAAGCGATAAAATTGCTCTGGAATAATGAAGATGCACGAGGACAACACCGCCCTCCCCATTTTTGCCCGCCCACGTGCGCGCCCATCCAATGTTCTGAAAAGCCAGCTGCGGGTTCTCAGGAACGGAGATTTCCGGAGTTTTCGCGGATTCTCGACATCATACTCCGAATCAGTAACATGAGAAGGCCCTAAACGATCAACGACATGGAAGTCGAGAATCTGGGTGGACGATGCCTTTGGGAAAAAACTCGATTTTTAGAAAATCCACTTACAGGAGGAGTTATCCGCAACGCTGAACTCAAAAATCCACATTGAAAGGCGCGGAGACGGCGAGAACATCGTTTTCCAAAGCCTTACCATTTTGTATTCGACAGGATCCCAGGGTCTTATCTTTCTGACACCTCTCCCTCATATTCTATTTTTTATTCATTTCCAAAAGATTTGATCTGCCTTGCTTCTTGCGGTGCACCTGCGCAATTCCACGTGCAAGAGTTGCGGGAGAGCTAGAATGGCTCAACCCGCTGGGTAATGCTAGCTCCTCTGCCACTTGCTTTGAGTCCAACGTTATAACCTCGTACTTGTGCGATGCTGTGTCTGAGGCGGGCTACTTTCTCAGACATTCGCAGTTAAGTCCCGCCGGTGGAAAAGTTGTGTCCCGCCGGAATGACTGCGGGACACAAGTAAAATGGTTCGCGAGAAAACCGAGACTCCCGGTTTTCGTTCGGGCTAATGCTGCGCGACACGCGGTTTTGTTCCGACATGTTTTCTACTGGGAAAACCGGGAGCTCCTGCGGGAGTCCCGATAATGTCGCGATCCGGTCACCGGCGGGACTCCCCCTCTAGGTTGCAGTCTCCTGCGGGAGACGCGATATAGCAGCGATCCTATCAGCTTCCGGCTAGGCCTTTTCTCAAATAGGTTCTCCTTCAAAAATTTGTACTACACACATCTTCCAAAGGTGCTGTGCTTGACACGAGTTCAGAAACACTTTTCATTAGCATTCGTGACCGAAAAAGAACATTGAAATCACTATAACTAACAAGGGAACCGTGTCGAGTCGAAGTGGCCTTTCCAGATGAGACCTACACTTTGAAGAGCATTAATCGGTGATTCCAAATCTGCTTTCCAAATCTGCCAAGCGACTCTGGACGCCGAGTTATGCTCGTTTTTCAGGTCAAAAAATTGAACGCAAAACTGAAGCAAAATCGCCCAAATTTGCTCAAATGGTCCAGTGTCAAGTATTAGAGCTGTTTATGCAATGGATACATTTTATTTATTATGCTAATACTTAACATTGTTTTGTCTGAGCGCTGGAAAGATTGTAACAATCAATTTCACCTAAATTCTGCATTTTTTCGTTCCGAAGGACTGTCATAACTCCGCGTCCAGAGGAGCTTGGCAGATTTGGAAGGCAGATTTGGAATCACCGCTTAATGCTCTTCAAAGCAGTATGGGTCTCATCTGGACAGGACACTTCGACTCGACACGGTCCCCTTGTAAGTTAACAGAAAAAACAGGAATGTCGTGATCAAGATTTGAGATTGAATCCATAATTCAAATCGACTTCACACTTTCGATGTCTTCGGCTCCCCGTTTCATTCGCATGCTCGTGCGCCAAAGAATCTTGCGTTGTAGTGGGGCAAAAACGTTTTTTTTCTGGAAAAGAGTAACAATATAACACTGATTTGAGAAATCATGTATGAATATTACCGAGGGTGGCGACAGCATCTCCTTATCAGCATCAAAATGGTATGCTCGCACATCTCCTCTGAACTTCAAATTTATTAGATTCATGAAAACTATCTTTGGAAAACCCACAAAGCTCTTCCTATAGCCACTCGTGCTAATCCATTAAACTTCATCCTCGCCTCCGACAACTTGTCAAACATCTTCGTCCTAGCCTCTTCGTCGCTCCCTAGGATTTTTAGAAAGACCATCAATCACTCACTTATCAAAAATGTAACCAGACTTTTGGGCAGGTCCTGCAGATGCGGAAATCTTCCCCTTTTACCGGATTGTCTGCATGCAAACTTTTGGATTTCTTGTTTTGGCTCGCATGCCTAAGTGCGCCCCTCTCGATCAGGATAGACTCGAAAATTTAGTCTCACTTAGATGCAAAAAATAGAACCTATAAAAATCCATCAATAACAAAGAATGGTCATTCCTGTGTGCCCTTGATGGCTGCGTCCAGTTCTCGAATAACTCGATCATGTTAGCATTCTGAAACAAAATCAAGTGCTGCTGTATCGATAACAACTACAATAGGTAACCTTGAATGCAGGAAATTCGTTGAATTTCCAGGACTTCGTGAAATTCTTCCGCTAAATACATGTCCTTCCGGTAATGTAACTTCGTTGCCTTTCGCTATGTGATATGATGTCCGTTATTGCTTACCATGTTCTTGCTGATTGGAGAGAATTGCGTCTATCCAAAGAACTGCACACCCTCCGTTCTAAATCTACTTGACTTACACTGAGACTTAGTCCAGCTGTGATATTGCTTTGTTCTTTTACGATTCCAGCTAGGGTCCTCACAACTGAGTCTGAGGATGGTCTCATTAGGTCGATAGCGCTTTGCATATCTTTGACTTGCTGTAGATTAATGGCATTCACTTTTTTCATCTTTGTCGCTAGCAGTTCCTGAACGACAAAAAACGCAATGGTTACTCGCATGGGTGTGCCGTTACCTTATTTTCAAGATTGATTTCGAATTGGCGTACGAGTTTTCCTAATTTCACTAAAGAAGACAAAGAAATTTCTCCTGTGAAGCTGTTCACTGCCTCTAAAAACCGACACTTTTTAGGTGGTTCCTCTGTCCATATTAGAAATTTGACTGTGCCACAACCAACCCGAAAACGTATTCGTTACCAGCAGCGCGTTTGCAGTCGAAGCAACAGGATTGCAAGACTCACAAAAAATCCTACGGCGTTTCTCTTGCTATTAGTTTTTCGCTGTACATCAGCCCTCCTATCGGTCAGATTTGTAGAAACATAAACATATCCAACGATTCGAATATAGACGCCGAAGGAAAAGCACACTTACCTTCTGGGATTGTACGTTGTTCGGCAGATGCAGTGCAACAAGTTAGGATCCAGTCCCTGAGGTGGTGATTTGTCGAAGGAGTTAGTCTTCAGTCGAATGCTGAACCAATCAAATACAGATTTCTGGAAAAAAGCATAACAGTAAGACCTAGCGTGCTGACATGTTCCTGGTGATAGCGTTTTGGTGGACGTCCTCACGTCGAACTTCTGAACAGTACAATGATGTATCCTCCAGTTCATGCTGCAAGAATTGCTTTTTTGCCATAGAAAGCATGAAAGGAAAGCTTCTTACCCTTCTTTTGTGCTTTGGAGGTGAAGGAAGAGCGGGTCCTTTCCTTGATGGTTCCCAATCCGCGATCGTAATGGGCTCGAGAGTTTTTTCTTGAACCTCATTTTTGATATCTTCATCCAATTTCATTTCATCTTGGCTTCCTAAAAATTTAAACGCTGCAGAAATAGTGGAACAGCATCCTAAAAATTCAAACACTGCAGAAATAGTGGAATTAGCCATCTACCGACAGACTTTCATTACATATAGAAGATACGAACAAATCAATAGAAGCTTTTCCGGACTTTCTTGTTTTGATCATGTTGTAGGCAGAAGCTAAAAACCTTCCTTGTCACACTTGGTTCTACAGCGAACATAAGCAACGCACCTCTTTAATGTCCATAGGTTTCTCTTCCTTGATCCAATTATCCACTACATCTCCGCCAAGGCTAATTTCAGCTGGATTGATCGCTACGGGACGGGGCCGATTGATCTCAGCTGTCTTCGTCGCAGTATGCGCGCGTCAGGCTAAAACATTTCTTGATTTTTTCTCATAGGAAAAGCAGATTGGCAAATAAATAATGACGTGCAATAGAACTACAATTCCTGGACGATACGCGTAGGGAATCATGACTCATTTAAGGTTGAGATTTTATAAAGGAAACTAACTGATGCGGATGTCGTGCAGTGCAGAAATTTCATCACATCATACATTCAAAATGACCCGCGTACACCGATATCGCGACTCCCGATAATATCCCGCTTCTTTCTAATTGTCGGGATTGTCCCAAAAGTCGGGACAAAACCGCGAGCCGCGCAAGACTCCCGGTTTTCTCGCGAATTCTCATTTTATGGGCGGATCTCCGGCGGGACTTAACTGCGAATGTCTGAGTTCGTGGTACAATCCTAAAACCCCAAGTTTTCTTCCTAGCGGGAATTGAGAAAAATATCGCAAAGATTCAAATTTGAGCATCCGCTTAGCAAAAAAAGCCCATTCATCGCTTATCAGCTTCCATCTTTTTGTGTTTCTGACGTCCGAGAGCCTATGAGTACGAAAAGAAACACCCTAAAAACGTTTTCTCTCAAGTGTTTCGCAGATGGAGCAAAGTTTAGCTTTAGCCGTTTTGACCGTACGTTGATGTATGCCAGATCCTAATAGCCGTCCTGTGACATCCACGTGGTGACGTGATACAAACTGATAAGTGCTAGCGGAACTTCACCATCATTCGGCTTCTTTTGAAAAGGATATTGTTACTTTTTATGCCATATTTAGACACAAAGTCACAGAAGGGAATGTTAACGTCATGTGCCACTTATCAAAAAATAGACATGTCAACCACATGTTTGGCAGGTATTAGCAGAAGTGTGTTGCCTACCAACGTGACTTAGACTGTTTTTCAATCAAAGATAAGCGTTTGACCCGGCAATATCAAAAAGATAACAGATGAGTAAAGTGATCCTGCATTTATTAGTGAATACTTTGCCTAAAACAAAAATATGCGGAGTTCCATCATCTAAGCGGCAAAACAGGCGGCAGAGCTACTTCAAGCCATCATTTGAGTTCTTTCCTGATGTGAAAAAAAGAGAGGAAAATCTTTTTGGATCACTGCTGAAAGCGATCAAAACACACTTTTGGACGGTTTTTTTCTTCAATAAAATAACACCTTAACAAGTTCTCAGCTATCTTAAATAGTCTTATTACAGCAGTGATTTCAAAGAAGACATGTTAAACAGAGTTAATTTTGGAAAACTCTATAAAAAATGAGTGCCGAAAAATGGCAGCAGGCTTACTATCATTGGACGAGGTGGCGTTTAGGGTTGTATAGGTCGTCCGCGCAGAGCGCGGAGAGTGCGCAAGGTGTGTATTGCGCGTCACCCCTTTTTTCTCGTGCACTCTCGCCGCCTGTTTTCTCTGCGCTTCTTCCAGTTCGTGAACTGCCTTCAATGTACGCAACAGCGTTGCTCTCCGTGCGCAGCGCGGACGGCCTATAGACGCAACCGCACGCCTGTAAGTATGGAGTGTATCTGGAGAAGGAATACGTTGTTCGAGACAACGCTCACTTCAAACTTCATTTTGATCTTATTTAATTATGTAATGAAAGAAATTCATCATTTTGTGTATGCCCAACGTTGCCAGGAGAATTTGTCAGGACCAAGTATTAGGTTATCACATAAGTGTTGAAACGTCTCCCATAATTTTTTTTCTCATTTAATTTAGCACGCTCATTCTCTGGCATCATTTAGATCGTGACGTAAGCTCCAAGTCTGCGCAAACCGTTTGATTTTTGACAGAGTAGTAGAAAAAACGCAAGCGATTTTTGAAAACTTTTGAAATCGAGGTTTCACGGTTCTTTGACAAACATGATGCCGTATAAAAACTGTATCAAACATATGAACGAATTATATGCAGCATATAGCCAAAAGCTGACACATTAGAACCAGTGAAACAGAAGTGAATTCTGAGGACAAATTACCATAGGGCGCCTTTGAAATCAAGAAAAGTAGATCAAGTCGAATGCGTCAAATTTGAAGCGTATCTGTCAGTAATTAAGCTGCGAAACCTCAGAATTTGCTAAAACTTTGCAAAATAGGGTAACCCAATACGATGAACACGAATAACGTATTCATTCGTCGCTAAGCAGGGAACGATACTTGGTTACCCCGGCCATTCATAATAATTTGTACATAAAAAAATGCGCCTTTTAATGCTGGTTCGATTATTGTTTTTCATATCTGCGAAACAAGAATCTGGATAAAGTTATGACTATTTTTTCAAAAATGAGTTGCGCTATGGCGAAGGGTGAAAATCACTAACAAGAAATTTTTTTCATCTTCAAATGCTGAATATTGTTTAGATAGGTATAAATACAACGTTACACCTTTCAAGATTCTCATCATTAGCTTCAAACGGTAAAATAGATCAAATTGGGTGGCTTCAGCTACCTAAACGTACGCAAATTCTCTACGAAAAAAAGTTCATAACTGCTTTCAAATGATCGTTTCCAGATTTCGAGCACAGATTTAGAATCAGCGTTTCGAGATGCACCTTAAGGTATACATCGCATTTCACATGGCCGGGGTCACCAAGTATCGTTTCCTTGTAAGATGTATACGATATATTATAAGATGCATATGATATATTGTCCCTTCCACATTTGCTGCTACCCTTCTGGCGTCGCGGACATGCCACGTGTGACTAACACGTTAGCAACGTGGCAGTAACATGTTGGCGTGGCCAAAATGTTCTACCAACACGTTGCTGCATTCAAACATGTTATTGCCACGTTGCCAACATGTTAGCCACGTGGCAGGTCTGAGCAGGGCTCGGCATGAGGTGGCTTTTTCAATTTTGCAAAAACGAAGTCCCCGCCGATTTCGCCACACAAATACGACATCACCTGCGACGCGATCAGGAATGGATCATCATGAATAACAAAAGTTAATGAAAAAAAAACTTAAAAGCAGCATGAGCAAACGAAAAAGATTTAAAGAATTTCGTCCGAATTGGCGGCATGCTGTGTCCGGCGCGATGTTGCGCGCTTGGAGCAGGCTTGCCGCCGCCATACAAAATATTTAGAGGGCTGTAACTAGGCGAGGAGGAGGGGGTTTGGGGAGATTCAAAAACTCGTTTATAGGGTTTTTGATGTAGACCAAAGATCATTCTATAATAAAGATTGTGTTTGTGTCAACATGTAAGTGCAAGGTTTTGCACTTACATGTTGACACAATCTGATCACTCGCCTCAAGTGATTGCGGAGGGTGCGGAGGGCACAGATTTATTTTCAAGGCTAGCGTGTTTTCGTAGGGGGTAAGCATCGTCCCTCCTCGAGGAATTTTTCGAAAGGGCAGCGACTACTAAGTGCAAAAAGGCCATAGTTTGAGGAGGTGCCGACACTCTCGTAAGGTTGCTAACAAGTACCCCCCCCCTCTTTCGCAAGTTCGAACTCTGCGGTGACGAGTATAAGACTGTTGTTTCCACTTTTTGCACTGGCGCCCCGCCAGTTTGGTTTTCGACATGCTGTAGTGATGCGTGCTGTTCATGTAAATGTTGTAATCTGTTCACATCTTCCTCCTAATTATCCATGGTTGTCTATGGCGTTTAGAAAGGTCGATGAAGTTTATGAGGACAGTTTGTTCTTTCTCGAAATCGATTTGTGAATGGCTCGCAGGGCAGTTCTTATGGGTCTCTAAGCAGCTGGTGGGCCTTTATTTTTTCTTAAAATTCCAGTTTTTGGCTTTTCATATAGCAGATAATCCGTAAGGAGCTGCTAGAGAGTACAATTTGTATATTTTCGAGGGCACTTCTTACTTACAGTTGTGACCGTGGAATTTGTCCAAAATTGCGGGATTTTCGGGATTCGCGGGATTTTCGGGATTCGCGATGTTTGCGGGATTCGCGACTTCACGGGATTTGCGGGATTCGCGGGATTTACGGGACTTGCGGGATTGGTATGGTACGGCTACGGGTTCCTCATAGGGCACTTTTTTCATTATGGTCTGTGGGAATTAGTACCCTATTTTCAGGTGTATATGAGCCGCTGGTCCTAGCTTACATCGACCAGTTCGAATACATCAAAGGACCTCGCAGCGAAAGGACCCTACACTATGCTGCGTATTGCCTGAATGAAACGTGCGGTATAAGAATCGCTTCTCGAAACACAATGAAGCGGCTGAGCAGCTCGTGGGAAAATTTAGTAAAGTGCGGCTTATACACCTGAAAATAGGGTAGTACAGCTATTTCTCGGAATATCGGTCTACATGCATTCCATAGAGCACTTCTTTTTGTTAACAGGTCTAGGTGTTCCATAGGGCTGCTTTTCTCAAAGGGTTTGTGGGGGGAGGGGGGGGGAAATTCTAGGGCAGTATTCTAAAACGTTGTTCTGTAGAACCCCCTCTTTCACAGGTTTGTATTTGGAGATATGACTGATTTAGGAACTCATTGTTTTGTGTAAACATTCTGTAGTAGTTTCTCAACATTTACGCCTTCAACTGCTCACATTCTCATCTTCTTGCTAAAGTCCATGGCTGCCCATAATCGATGAGGACCGTTGAGAACAGTTCTTTGTTTTTCTCAAAAAAAAAGTTGGTATGCTGCCCGTGGGGCGATTCTTGTAGGTCTCTAAGGCGCATAGGGCAATTTCAAAATTGGTCTGATCGCTGTCCGGTTCGTACTTAAATTTTTTTCAGAATACTGCTTCTTAAGGGGCTCCCAGAGCGGGTTATTCTCAAATATCGGTCTTTGAGCGGCTCTTAGGGCAGTTTTTTTCTCGAGATATTGGTGAGGATTTGCAGCCCAGTTCTTTTTTGTTATGCTGGTCTGTA